GCTTTTCCTGCACATCTTTTCCAAGCAGAGGCTGCTCATTCTCTCAGATTCCAGATACCACAAAGGCCTGATAATGTATCCTCACTGCTGCTTCTTCCAAACCATTGCTTTTCTGCTCAGCCATAAAACCCTCCCTTCTCTGAGATTTGTGACAACGTTCCCATGGTGACCCATCTCCTACACACTGCCTTGCGTTTATCAAAAATGTAGTGTTTTGACTGTGTCCCGACAAGACCCAACATTATCTTGGATTATGCATCCAACCCTTTCCTCATTCTATCTAACCCTCAACTCTAGCCTTCTATGTCAACCATCAAGCACAATACCACATCCTGGACCTTTTTCTTCATTCCACAACAGCAGTGACCCAATCAGGTGTTTACTTAAGAAACATTTACTGATCATCGCGCATGTGCTTGACTCCATGCTGGCCTCTGGGACTATAAGTGTGAAAGGACAAATAGAACCCCTGTTCTCACAGGCTATAGTTTAGGAGGAGGAAGGGCCACGAAAACTAATTCTAAAAGTAGCGACAAAGGCTGAGGAAGGGAAGCACAGAGAACCAGCTGCAGAAGCATGTGGTAGAACCCTCACTGGTTTTGAGATTAAGGAAGGAATACCCTCTCTTTCCAGAATTTTCATTGTTTTGTTCCCATGTTACCTATTCTCCAACCTCATCAATGCAGGACCCCATCTTTAATCTTCTTGCAACTTATTGTCCCTACCTTTTCATTCTTTCTATTTCTCCTGGATTCATAAATAATTACTATTTTTAAAATATATGTTTTTACTGACTTTTTTAAGAAAGAGAAGAAGGGAGGAGAGAGAGAAACATTGATCTGTTGCTCCCAGCACATACCCCAACCAGGGAGTGTGCCCTGACTCAGAACTGGTGATGTTTCGGTGCATAGGACAATGCTTAACAAACTGAGCCACACCAGTCAGGGCAAAATAATTAATGGTACTTTAAACCATTCTTTTACTGGTCATTTTAATCCTCTTCTCTTCATGCCCTACCTGGAAAATCCTCAACCTTGGATCAAGACAATGTCTTTTCTGGGCAGCTAAGCCTCATAAAGAAAAACCGCTCTGCCATAAAGGGTCCACTCATTAGTTCCATCTTTGGACCTTTGACTCTACTGTCAATCCTCCTCTATGTTCCCAAGAAGACTGTGCTTCTCCAGTCTCACAGCATTTATTTCAATCATCTCTATCTCTTCAAGCTCACAAGCCTATTACTACTCTCATTTTGAGTCAGAGGAAAAAGTAGGAGCATTCATTCATTCATTCATTCATTCATTCATTCATTCATTCATGTATTCATTATTTCACCTAGCAAATATATGAGTGCCAGGTACTATTTCAGGTGTTGGGGATACAAATGAATGAAACACGACAAAGTCCCTGCCCCCACAAGCTTACATTTTGTTGGGGGCGGGGCGAGAGACCAACATAAACCTAATACATGGGTAAATGATATAGTTGGCAAACAGTTTAAGTGTTATGGGGTGTGTGTGGTGGAGGAGGCTCAGTGTGTTAGAAAGACTGCAAGTCCATAGTGAGAGCTTTCCAACATGGACTAGGGTGATGAGGATGGGCTCATTCAGAAGGTGAGATCTGAGCCCAGACTTAAAGGTGGCAGCCCAGCCAGGAGGGCTGCCACTGCAAAGGTCCTGATTGGAAACACCTCTGTCACCTTCCCATACCCACTGGCATGCTGGAGGAATAGCACAGAGCAAGGAGGCAGGCAGTAAGGTCTGATGGGGCATGTAGGCTATTGCAAGAACTCGGCTTTTAGAGATGAACGGGAGCCATTGGAGAGTTAGAGCAGAGAAATCAGGCAGGAGTTCCCTCAATGTATTGCCCCCTCCTCCACTTCAAACTCACCTGCATTACTCTCCATTCACCTTTCCTGATATTTCCGTGGAACAGTTATTCCTTTTCCAGGCTGATTCACTTCTGTTTGGGATTTAAGCCATTGTAGTCCCACCAAGGACTTCCTTCCACCACCAATTATCCCCCTTTTGCCTATATTTTGACCCTCCTCTACCTCTGGAAAGTTTTTTGGGGCAGCAAACGTCCCCTTAACTTCTCAATGCCATCCTCAACCCTGTAGCCCTCTTTCTAATGACTACCTTCTCTCCTCCTTTTACCATGTGTATTTGAAAGACATTTTTCTCTTCTGTGTCCACTTTCTCTTCTTATTCCTTAAACCATCCATCCATTCAATATACTTTATGAGCACATACTGTCTGTCAGGAACTATGTTGGAGACACAGAAATGGGGCCTCTAGGCCATTGGCACAAGGGGAACCGAAGTCCATCCATCCATCCATGGACACTGCTACAGACTCACTCCACTAATGCTTCTCATTTTTCAATTTTTCATTTTGACATAATTTGACACTTGCAGAAAAGTTGGAAGAAAAGGAAAAAAAACCTTCCAATACCCTTCACCCAAATTCCCCAAATGCTAACATCTTATTAGATTAGCTTTATCTATTCTCTTTTAGGTGTATATGTATACAATGTGTATTTCACATTTTTAGAGCTGCAATCTGTTGTCCTTTTAATAACACTTCAGTGTATCTTTCTTAAAAACAAGGAATCCCTTTACCACAATACCATTATCAACAACAGGAAAAATGATGCAATACTATTACCCATACTTTCAAAAACTTATCCATTTACAGTAGGTGATTTTCAACTTTAAAATCATTACTTTTTAAATGTATATGTACTATACATATGCACTGGGAAGATTTTTTGAAAAAAACACAAAAATAACAAAATACAAATTCTACTCCACCATCCAGAGAGCACCATCATTAATTTTTACAGGGTTCAACCCTGTAAACTCTCTGTACATATGAAATTCTTTCCGAATTTCCTTTCCAGATCTTTCTTGAGCTCCCACTTCTTCAGGTGGGTGTTACCTCACAATCAACACACTCCAAACTGAAGTCTCCACCCTTCTTTCTCAGTCTTCTCCTCTTACATCCCTCATTCTGAACTTCTCTCTCTGCCTCACCCATCCTGCATCCCCCATGCTCACTGGTCACGATGAGCACAAATTCTATTTCATAATACATCTTAACCTGTCACCTTCCCACACCCACTGCCAGCACCTGACCTCAGGTCTCCAGTATTTCTTGCACAAATCAATGCAAATATATATATATATATATATATATATATATATATATATATATATATATATATATATATCCAGTGTCTCCACTTCAGTTAACTATGCTCCCCTCCATCCAGCTGCAGCCATGATTCTGTATGTGACCATGATCATACAGCCCCTTCCTCTGATGCCTCCCACTGCACTCAGGACAAAACACAAACACCATGCAGGACTCCAGCCCTGCGCCCTCTGCAGCATGCCCCCACTGCTGGCTCACACGGTACACCCAAGGATGCTGAGCTATTAGCAGTCGCTAGACAGCCCGTGCCCCCGCACCCTGGTCTCCTCCCACTGAATGCCTCAGGTCCACGTGTGCTTTGTTCCTACCTTTATTTTTCTTTCTTTTTTTAAACCAGCTCAGAAAGTCTCCATGCCTCCATCCTGACCTCTTCCTTCCTAGAGTGGGGGTTGAGGCTGACCCTTTCCTTCATATAAAGCGGGAGTGGGGGCTGTCTCCTTCCTTCACAGAATACGGGCGTAGGGCCGACCCCCTATATTCCTACTCTATTTTTAAGGCTGAGTGCAAGCATCTCCTCCAAGAAGCCTTCCCTGACCACCCCACCCCACCACACCCAGTCTCTGCTGGGCTCTTCCTGGGTGTTCTTTGGAGTCCGAGGCTTCCCTCTGCCACTATCAAACTCTACTGTGATGGCCTGGTCATTAGTTCAGCCCCTTAAGCCCCAAGCTGGGACCATTCTCATACATCTTTGAATCCATAATAGCACAAAGCACATTGCCTGGCATAAGCCAAATTCTACTGAGTGTTTTACAGAAGAACTAATGGGTACTGGTATCGTTAGTATAAAAGTTATGCATTTGCATTGTATTTTATATCTATATATAATTCCTTTGAATTGTGGTGTGTATTAAATAAATGATCCTGAGAGCTAGATTAAATCAATCACAAATTTATAAAAGTATAGCATTTACTATTGAGAGGTTTAATAAATACAACAGGCAATATGAAAATGGTTAAACATTTAAGAATTACTTCTGATAGAAATAATTTTTCATTGAAATGGTCCAAGTTGGGCAATTTGGCAAATTTATAATCATATCCTCACAGTTGTTTTATTATCACAATCACTTCCTTACCAGCAATTTCACTATCACAGATGTGAAAGAGACTAAAAACTAACTTGGCTCAGTGGATAGAGCACCGGCCTGCGGACTGAAGGGTCCTAGGTTCGATTCTGGCCAAGGGCACATGCCTGGGTTGCGGGCTCGATCCCCAGTAGGGGGTATGCAGGAGGCAGCCGATCAATGATTCTCTCTCATCATTGATGTTTCTATCTCTCTATCCTTCTCCCTTCCTCTCTAAAATAAAAAAATATATATATTTTAAAAAAATAAAAACTAACGAGGTTTTCAAGCTGCTTTACAAATCTGTGTAACTTAGGTCTATAATTGACCATGCAATTGCTTAGAAGGAAGGCTCATAAGTCTGCTTAGGGGGTATCAGAAGCTGACTTTCACCTACTGAAATCTGCATGATTGGAAAAATTATAAAAATGAGACAAAAAGGGAAGGAGCCATGAACATAATAAAGATATTTTACAGAAGAAAGAAAAAACCCATTTTGATTTTATCTCCTTTGTAGGATACCAACGTTTCCCGCCAACACTTAAAAATATCAGAACTGCAAATATGTCGCTCTGAGAAAAGTTGTATTATTTATATGATATACATACAGATATATACCTTACCATACATATATACACATGCATATACATACTTGTATATATAAATAAACTGGGAAAAATAAATGTCTTGTATTAACGTTAAGAATCTAATACTTATTCCTTACCTGAACCTGAGAAATTGTCTAAAGACCCGTCTGCTGTTGTTGAAACTATTTCACTGCTGCTCATTGGCTCTGTTTTAACTACAAAAATAAATAACATATGTCATATATCTAATTAATAGTTATCTGTAAAGATACTACAGAAGAGATATCACATTCAAAATAGTCACATAGAAAATTATTTTCAAATTCAGTCTTATTGTATTTAAATATAATTCAGATTAATATTCCTACTAGAATCTTCTTTTAAAAAAAACCCCAAACATTCTAATGTTATTTTCTCCCTAAGAAAACAATCTATTGCGACAAGTTACCCTTTAAAAGAAATGCTTTAAACTAAAAGTAGTTAAATTCATTTGTCTCTTACATATTTACTGAACTGCTTTATTTTTATTTTTTTAAATTGTTTTATTGCTTAAAGTATTACAAAGAGTATTATATATGTCTCCCTTTTTTCCTCCCCTTGTGAACTGCTTTTTAATAAATAACTTATCTCAAAATTGACATAATGTGAATGTGAAATTACAATGGGTTTGTAGCCATGTGGCCAAACGGAGTCAAAATGATAGGCTAATGAGACTTGAAGATGTGGGAACTACTGGCAGCAGGTTTTTAAGGTGCTCAAGGACAGGTTCCTGTGTGCACAAGTACACACACACACTCTCTCTCAGTTATCCACCAGGGCTAGAAAACAGAGCGTTCAACTTAATGGATTATTATTACCATCCAGCCATAACTCACAGCCGATTCATCAGTATCTAAGGTACATTTAATATTTTAAAAAAAACCACATTTACTAAATGTAAATGAAGCAGAAATGCTTTCCATGTCAAAATAATACCAATAGCCATCAGTTTGTGGAAAACATAGATGACCTTTGGTAAAGCTCCTTGGGGTGTAAAATAAAAACCTTTAGATTTATGTCACAGGTTCTCTAAGCCACCACTCTACTGAGACAGTGATGGTGTTACTGCACCCCTATCAAACAAATGGCCAGACCACTGCAGAATATTAGCCATTTCCCTAGTTTCAGGTTATTTTAGAATGAGGAAATAGCATTAGTACCTTCCCTAGTGAAATGCTATGTCAGAATTTGCCTAGCCTACTTTATGGAAGTTATTCATCCCCATTAACAGGTTTTCAGAAAGAGTACAATAATTATTTAGGGACTACCTAAAAATTAATAATGTGCTTCCCAAAATGAAAGTCCTAACAAGAATATCAGGGGAGGCTTTTGTCACAAAGTAAACACATTCTGGGAAAGGATGATGGAGAAAATGTAGCTTTTCCTTCTCCCAACATTGTCAATCTCTTACAAATATCAGGCAAAGGCCTCATTCACCTGACCCCTTAACCCTCAGGGCCTTTGAAATGTTTGCTAATGCATACTGAGTAGTTTAAAAATAGGCATTATAAATAGTTGCAGCAGAAAGTCACTTTAAAAAATTTAATTATTTAGACTGTTTCTAAACAAAGTTGAAAAATAAAACCAGTGAGACTAATAGGAATCGCTCCAACTGCTTGTTTTAATGCAGACCAAACAATCGTGTAACTGAAGTTTTCACTTTTCCACCACTTGTTGGGGGTTAGAAGTCTTAGTTGATGCTAATAAATTCTGACATAAGCCTGTATTTCCCTTCTTTCTTCACGCCTCCAGGCAACCTAATGATCTTGCTCTTTGCAAGCATCATGTGGCCATAGACTCAGGAAAGCGGATCAGCCTCTGCTGGTGCAGAGTCCCTAAGTTTCCAGCTCAGTAGCCCACATCCTGTCTTACCTTCCTCGAAAAGAACTCATACAATGAGTTATACGTAATAAACTCCCACAATGTACATATACAGCAAGAGCTGTTTTACTCTGTCCTGGACAGGTGACCACTGGAATTCTACCTCGGAACCACTTACCACATGCCTAGCAAAAGATGAGAATTAGGCCCACAGGGTACAGTCATGTAAAATGCCTACTATGTGTCAGATTCTACAAGGATGTCCCAGAGCACAACTCACAGACTCCCTCGTTAGATATTGTCTTCTTTTTCCACATGCAAAAACTTAAAACCAGAAGGTTGGGAATTTGCCCAAAGTCAGGAGGGGGCAGAAATGGGATTTAATTTTGGACATTTTTGGTTCCAAGGCTTGAAGAAATGGCAAAAGAGTAGCACTTCCCAATAATAATTAGAGCTGCTCTATAACAGAGCAAGATGACTGAGGTGTCATGCCACTGTATTTATGAAGCATAATCATAACCAACTCTGTTTACTCGAAACAGATCTAAAGTCTCTAATTGCACACTCCTCCAGTCACAGAGCCCGCAGGGCACTCCTCGCTGTGCTAGCAGGTTCACGCTTCCGGCCAGCGTCCTGGCTAGCAGATCTCAGGTAGATGCTGAGCTGCCTGGGAAGATGGGGAAGAATAAATTGTCCATGGTGCAGATGTTTGCCCAGATGGCTTCTAAGTCTTTGCCAAATCTCCGGTCTATGATTCTGTCAACTGGACCATAAAATTACTCTGTGAAAGCCGGACCACATCAAAACTTCTGCTCCTGTCCCCTAAAACCTACCCCGGCTCTGCTCCATATGACTGGCTTAATCCAATGTGGCTTTCACTCCCAAGAGACACGTTCAGTTATACTTGAAATCCATTCAGAACAGGCCAAAAGGATAGGAAGGAAAGGAAGAGGATCCTTTTTCTCCTAGGCCCCAAGTCCATTGCCTTTTGCCATTGTTCAAATATGCCCCTCTATATACACGATGGAATAAAGACTCCCTTACCTAATGAATCCAGTGTTAAAAGGCTCACTATTGAAGAGAAGAGGATGTACATAAGGTAACTATGCGGGTAGTGGTGATGCTATCAGGTGCTGTAATAGGACACCTGATCACCAGGGACCTGATGCTGAGACTGGCGATTTATTGTGATGGTAAATAGTTTCTGAGTAAAAGCCAAAGGAACCCAGACCACTTCTGCCTTTGTTGCTGCCAAGCACCCACCCACCAGAAAGTTAAAAATACAAGAATAATCTCAGCCACCAAAACGTTCCCATCCCCCTAGCTTGCACCACCGCGGGTACCAACATGCTGTGGACAGAGCACCACTCCAAGGCTTTGAATTTAAAGACACCACACGCTGAATTTTTTTGGTCTTAGAGAGTTGAGCTACTGTCACATCTGTGAACAATTTTCCCATCTAAGCCACCTATCTGAAAAGGAGAAAAAATCCACGCACAATCTGTTCTCTAAATAACTATAGGACTCTTTTCTCTCCATTACATGCCTTTAGTTTATTAGAAAAGGGTATTTTTTAAAATCTCTGTTACCCCCACTCAAGAGTCTATTTTTTCTACCACCCCATGTTTCCACCTGATGTTTCAGAATTCTCCTTTGTCCATTTAATATCCCGGATCCCCCCCACCTCCTTCGCTCGGCCATGCACTCCAGGCCTGAGCTGTACTGTAAAACGGGACTCCCCAGAGGTACCAAGACTTCCATCTACCAATGCCGTTGGGCTTTGGTTTTGGGCTCAGAGAATCCAGTTACTTTCTTGTAAGACTTTATGAAAGTTATTTGATCTCTTCAACCTTAATTATCTCATGAATAAAAAAAATTTAATGATACTGACATTACAGGCATGCATAAGCCATAAAAATGTATGTAAAGTAGCTGGTCTGAAGCAGAAGCCGAATCTGTGCTTATCACCGTCTTTAGGAGTAGAGGTATTCTATTTCTGCTGCTCTGAATGCCTTCTCCGGGGAGTAAGTCCCAGGGGAAAAATACCAAATGAGGCCGTTAAAGCGTCAGCTTTGGAATTATCATCTGAATTTCAATCTAGCTTTGCTATTAACAGTGTAAACCTGGAAAAGTTATTCAACGTCTACCTGCGTGAGCTTCCTCCTCTGTAAGTGGGTAAATACATTCATAAAGACAATAAATGCTTATAAATCATTTAGCACTGTACGCGGTCATAGTCACTCTATCATGATAGTGTCTTTAATTAGAGAAATCAAAGTGTTTCCTATAGGGCAAAACCTATTATAATATTCACATTAAAGGTAAGCTTACATTTAAAAAGCAAATTAGAAGGATCTAAGATTAAGTGACTTGTCTAACATCAACCATGAGGCCATGGCCTCAGGAGAGCCAAATTCAAATCCAGGTAACCTGGGTGTCACTTAAGAAGGCTGGACTAAATCACGATTGAGAAAATGAATACCTTTGCATTACAATCAGTACATATTCTTTCTGAAGAAACAGGCTAGCAGGGAATTGTAAGTATTTCAGGAGAAAATGTAGGCATCTCTCTTTGGCACTGTTTAAGGTAAGTATACTGTAACTCAGGGGTCCTCAAACTACAGCCCGCGGGCCACATGCAAATACAAATATTGTATTTGTTCCCGTTTTGTTTTTTTACTTCAAAATAAGATATGTGCAGTGTGCATAGGAATTTGTTCATAGTTTTTTTTAAACTATAGTCCGGCCCTCCAACGGTCTGAGGGATAGTGAACTGGCCCCCTGTTTAAAAAGTTTGAGGAACCCTGCTGTAACTGGTCCATGAAAAAAAGACACCTGCCCTAGCCAGTTCTGCTAAGTGGTTAGAGCATTGGCCCAAAGACTGCAGGATCTCAGGTTTGATTCCAGTCAAGGGCACGTACCTCGCTTACAGGCTCAATCCCTGACCCCAGTCAGGGCGTGTGCGGGAGGCAACCAATGGATATCTCTCTCTCACATTGATGTTTTTCTCTGTCTCTCCCCCTCCTTTCCACTCTCTCTAAAAATAATGGAAAAAATATCCCTGGGTGAGAATTAACAACAATAACAAAAACATAACTGTCTTCCTTCACCATAAACTTAAATGAGATCAGACCATTGGAGCAGGTGACAATAGCTGCAAAGATCATCAACTAACCCATCTCACTAGCCTCTGCTCAAGAAGCAACTTCTGGTTATACTTTGAATGTTGTGGTCATATGCATAATCTTCAGGGAGATGGTAGGCTGGTCAGAGGATCAAGTATCAGTCATGTGATTGGTTATTTCTCACCATGGATAAGAAGGACCATTAAACCAGTTCACCCCCAAAGAGCAGT